AGAACTTCCAGATGAACAAGCTAGGTTTTGAAGAGGCAGACGAACCAGAGATCAAATTGTCAATATTCGTTGAAGCATAGAGAAAGCAAGAGAATTCCAGAAAAACATCTCCTTCTGCTTCATTGACTATGCTAAAGCCTTTGACTATGTGGATCACAACAAACTGGAAAAGTCTCAAAGAGATGGGAATACCAGACCACCTTACTGTCTCCTGAGAAACCTGTATGCAGGTCAAGATGCAACAGCTAGAACTAGACATGGAACAGCTGACTGGTTCAAAATGGGGAAAGCAGTACGACGAGGCTGTATATTGTCAACCTGATTTTTTAACTTATATGCAGAGTACATCATGCAAAATGCTGGGCTGGATGAATCACAAGTTGGAATCAAGATTGCCAGGAGAAATATGAACTAACATCATATACACAGATGATGGCAGAAACCATAGGAACTCTAATGGCAGAAAACAAAAAGAAACTAAAGAGCCTCTTGATGAAGGTGAAAGAGGAGAGTGAAAAGGTTGACTTAAAACTCAATATGAAAAAACTAAGACCATGGCATCCAGTCCCATCACTTCATGGCAAATAGATGGAGAAAAATTGGAATCAGTGACAGATTTTATTTTCTTCAGTTTCAAATCACTGTGGATGGTGATTGTAGCCATGAAATTAAAAAACACTTGCTCCTTGGAAGGAAAACTATGACAAAGCTAGACAGCATATTAAAAAACAGACATATCACTTTGCAAACCAAGGTCCATATAGTCAAAGCTATGGTTTTTCCAGTAGTCATGTATGGATGCAAGAACTCAACCATAAAGAAGGCTGAGCCTTGAAGAATTGGTGTCCTGAAATTGTGGAGATGGGGAAGATGCTTGAGAGTCTCTTGGACTGAAGGGGGGTCAAACCAGTCAATCCTAAAGGAAATCAACCCTGAATATTCATTGGAAGGACTGATTCTGAAGCTGAAGTTCCAATGTTTGGCCACCTGATATAAAGAGACAACTCACTGGAAAAGATCCTGATGCTGGGAAAGACTCAAGGCAAAAGGAGAAGATGGTGGCAGATGATGATATAGTTAGATAGCATCACTGACTCAATGGATCTGAATTTGAATAAACCCCAGGAGACAGTAGAAGGATGGGGAAGCCTGGTATGCTGCAGTGCATGGCGTTGCAAAGAGTCAGACATGACTTAGCAACTCAACAACAACAACACAAAGGATTTGAACAGACATTTCTGCAAAGAAGATATATGAATGGTCAGTAGCATTCATGAATAAAAGTTTCACAACATTAGTCAAGATGTGCTTAGTTACTCAGTCATGTCTGACTTGGTGACACCATGGACTACAGCCCACCAGGCTCCTCTGTCCATGGGAATTCTCCAAGCAAGAATATGCAGTGGGTTGCCATGCCCTATTCCAGGGGATCTTCCCAACCCAGGGATCCAACCCAGGCCTCCTGCACTGCAGGCAGATTCTTTAGCCTCTGAGCCAACAGGGAAGGCCATTAGTCAAGAGGCAGATGCAAATCACAACTATGATGAGTTAACATTTCACATCCAGTAGGATGCCTATTATAACAAATATAGGTAGTAATAAGTGTTGGTGAAGATACAGAAAAACAGGAGCCAAAATCTTTTGATGGGTGAGAATTGTGAAAACAGTTTTGTAGATTGTCAACATGTTAAACATATAGTGTCTGTAGGATCCAACAGTTCAACTTCCCCAGGTCTCTACCCCAAAGAATTGAAAACATGTCCACATATAAACTTGTACATGAAAGTTCAGTCAGCTACTATTCAAAATAACCAAAGAATGAAACAATTCCAATGTCCATCAACTGATTAGTGAATAAATAAAATATGCACATCTACACAGTGGAATACAGTTGACCCTTGAACAATGTGAAGGTTAGAAGTGTTGACGCTGAGCAGTTAAAAATCTGCACATAACTATACAGTCCACCTTCCATACCGAGAGGTCCACAGCCAACGATGCAACCAACCATGGAACATTAGCATTGTATGTACTATTTTTAAAATCTGCATATAAGTGGACTGCTGCTGCTCCTGCTGCTGCTAAGTTGCGTCAGTCGTGTCCGACTCTGTGCGACCCCATAGACGGCAGCCCAACAGGCTCCCCCATCCCTGGGATTCTCCAGGCAAGAACACTGGAGTGGGTTGCCATTTCCTTCTCCAATGCATGAAAGTGAAAAGTGAAAGTGAAGTCACTCAGTCGTGTCCGACTCTTAGC